GTTCCTTCAGAAAAGCCTCCCTTTCTGAGGGAATTCCTGACAGTAACCAAGCGTGCAGATGGAGATTTTCTAGACCCTGATGATTCTTTCTTACCTTGAACTGAGAAAGTAGATCTTACCTTAGAGGAAGTCGAAAAGGATTTGCACAACAGAGAAGTTGTTCTGGGATTCAAGATTGTCTTGGCCAAGCCGGAGCAATAAGAATGGTCTTGCAAAGATCCCTCTGAATTTTGTGCAAGATCTTGGGAAGAAGACGAAAGGGGGGGAACATGTAACTAAACATTCCTTTCCAAGACAGGGTCATAGCATCTAGTGCCCAAGCTTTTTCGTCTGGAATGGGGGAAACGTAAGTCTCCAACTTGTGATTCAGACTGGTGGCAAACAGATCTATGTGAGGACGATCCCAACGAAGAGTGATCTCATGTAACACTGATGGATGAAGTTCCCATTCTGTGTTCACTGGAAAGAGCATCCACCAGAAGATTTTGACTTCCTGGAACATGTCTCACTGACAGAATTACATAGAGACTGTGACACAGAAGAAGAATTTCCTTGCCCAGCTGATACAGAGAAAAAGAATGAGTTCCCCCTTGATTATGAAGATAAGCCACTACTGTGGAGTTGTCCATGGCAACCAGTAGTGACTGACCCTGAATCACAGCCTGAAAATGAAGGAGAGAAAGTAAGACAGCTCTCATCTCTAGAAGATTGATGTGTTCCTCCAACTGAGCACCTGACCAAAGACCTGAAGCTGTTCTGCCCTCCAGATAAGCTCCCCAACCCACCAAGCTCGCATCTGTGAACAGAGATAGAGTGGGGTCTGGAGGATCCAACAAAACTCCCTTCAGAAGATGTTCCCTGAAGCCACCACTGAAGATGAGGTAACAACCGAGGAAGAATTGGGACAGGTGCCTCCCACAGCTGAGAAATTGGGTGCCAAAACTCCGTCAGATACCACTGGATTGGACGAATGTGTAGACGTTCTAGTGGAATGACGTCCACGATAGATATCAAGAAACCCACCAGCTGAAGAAATTGACAAGCTGGAACAGTTGAAATCTGCATCAGAGCACTGACTAACTGATGTACCTTGATTACCTTCTCTTCTGGAGGAAGAACTAGACCCATATCTGTCCAAAAATGTTCTCCCAGGAAAATGAAGTTCTGACTGGGAATTATCTCTGATTTTTCCCATGAAATAAAAAAACCCAGTCTCAGGAGTAATTGGATAGCCAAAACGATGTGTTCATCCAGAAGAGATCGGCAATGATTCTTGATTAGAGAATCGTCTAGGTAGGAGTGAATGAGTACCGTCTGAGTATGAAGATAAGCCACCACAGTCTGAAAAATCCTGGTAAAAACTAGGGGGGCAGTAGAAAGGCCAAACGGCATAGCCTTGAAACTGTACACTTTGTCTGCCCAAACCAGTCTCAGGAAATGACAAAACTTGGGAGAAATCGGGATGTGAAAATAAGCATCCATCAAATCTAGAGAGATCGTCCAAATTCCTGAGTGAAATGTCGACCTGATTGACCTGTTGGTTTCCATTTTGAAATGTGGGACCACCAGAAACTGATTCAGAACAGAAAGGTCTAGAACCTGTCTCATTTTCCCATTCTTCTAGGGAACCAATAACAGCCGGGAATAAAACCCTAGATGAAAAGGATAATTTACCTCCTCCAACACACCCTTCTGAATAAGAATGTTCACTTCGTCTTGTAACAACTGATTCTTTTGAGAATCCTTTGTCACTGACAGATTCATTTGAACAGGAGAAAGAGGAGGCTGTTCCAAAAACTGAAGCTCCAATCCCCTCTGTAAGTACCCACTTGTCTGAAGTTATCAGAGACCATTGATCTAGAAAGTGGGACAGCCTGCCCCCGACTGGAAGATGAGGAAGAGTAGAATAATTTTCCTCTTCCAGTGGGGATGGATTTAACGGAGGGGACAGCACATCACTTACCCTGCTTCTTACCCTTTACAACTTTGGTTTTCTTTCCACCTGAAAGGTTAGGACGAGAAATAGCTGATCTCTTCACAGGCTGTGAAGAAGAAGAGGAAGAAGCCTTGGGCTGATGAGAGGAAGAAGGCTTGTTAATCTGAGTAGTCTTGACAAATCTTTTCCAATCAGTGACCTTATCATCCACCTTGACAACAGGAGGAGCCTTATTCACCTCCGATTCAGGAGATACAGTCGATTTTTCAAGAATCTCCTGTCTGTAAGCAAGAGTAAAGTTGGCCACAGTGCCAAGAAGAAGGAATTGAGACATTCCAAGACTCTTGTCTACCTGTAGAAGCATAGACTTCAAGTCTGAAAATTCATCCCCTTTGTCCTTTAAAAGAGACCCAGCTGCCGACAAATAGTGTCCACAGGTTTCGAACCATGAATAAATTGCTTTGCTGAGCGCAGCTGGATAAGACCACAGAGGTCCAACCCTGAACAGTTGGGGCAAAAATGGACACAATATTCGCACTTGATACAGGTCTGAATTTGGATTGTAATTAAATATTTGACACAGAATAATTGAGTCAAAGAACTTAGAATTGGTAATATGATTTGAATTTATATTCAATTTTTTGCTTTTGTGCAATACACTATGCTGTTATTGAACCCCCCCCCCCCTCTTCAAAAAAAAAAAATGTTTACCTCTTTTCTTTGCTTTTGTGCAATACACTATGCTGTTGTTGCGTATTGACACCCCCCCCCCCCCCCCAAAAAAAATTCTTTTACCCCCCTTGGCAAAAAAGGGGAAAAAAACAAGGGTTTAATGGTTAATGGACAATTAAGACAATTTAAAAGCAGTGTAAGGGAGGTAATCGAATCATACACAACATTTTACTTTAAATGTGTTTGGATTACCTCCCTTACACTGCTTTTAAATTGTCCTAATTGTTCATTAACCAGGAAACCCTTGTTTTTCCCCCTTTTTTGCCCCTAATTCCTAAATGGTTTGAGACATAACCCCCCAAAGTCAATCCTAACCCCACCCCCCCCCCCCCCCCCTCCTTTTGTGGTATGGAAACTTGTGGTATAATTTCAGAGAGATTCATACACTTAAACACAAGTTATTGTCTGGAAACTACAAAAATGCTTATTTGGGCCCCTTTTTTGGCCCCTAATTCCTAAACTGTTGGAACCATAACCCCCAATCCTGACCTTCCTTTTGTGGTTATAAACCTTGTGTTTAAATTTCATAGATTTCTATTTACTTATACTAAAGTTATTGTCCGGAAACCAACTGTCTTCAGACGACGACGACGTGATACCAATATAAGACCGCAAAAAATAAAAAGCCTTATCACAGATAGGAGCTGACATACCCAAGGAAGATCCATAAATCTCAAAGTCCTTAGATCTGCATTTCCCTGGGTAAAAGGCAGGTCAGAAACCAGAGAACTTACAACCACCAGTTTTGCTAGTGTAAGCATGGTTCTCAGCCAAAGACGAGTTAACAAAAGACAAAGCTGTTGTGAAATGACCCAACTCTGGAAAAGAATGATACCCCTTCAAATCTGGCTTGACTAAACCAGAGCAAGCCATAAAATCTGAAGGGGCAGACGTAACCCTTGATGGAGAAGACATGGGCATATCCGACATTTCCCTGCGAAAAGAATAAACTAGACTCCTAAGACATTCAGAGGGGTTGCCTGAAGAAGGCTCCTTAGAAATCATAGCATCTCCCTCTGTGCTACCAACACTGTCAATATCAGAAGAAGCACCTTGGTCTTCAAAGAAGTTAACTTCTTGGCTTCTAGGTGCCAAAGAAACAGAATCATCTTCCACCAGATGTCTAGGAGGTCTGGGAGGGTCCTGTGGAGGATCCTGAGACAGACCCCTAGACTCCATAAGAGTAAGCCTGTTACCAAACTCAATGAATTTAGCGTTAACAGTTGCTTCTATCTTATGGATAGAAGTGGTAAGAGTCCTCATCTTATCCTTAAAAGAGGATGATTCTGAAGACGGTCTTCCACCGAACCCCTGACCAGACCAAACTGACTGAGCCGAATACGGATCAAAGGGCTGAGGATAAGGAGGCAAGTTGGGCATACCCATAGGCATGGGAGGGTAGGCAAAATTCATAAGCCACCTTGTCTTGGAAAAGGGGTCACTCCTGATGCCAGCTGGTAGCTTCTCCTGCATACTTGTTGTGCAAATACAGGAGACATTGGTATCTCAGCAGGCCTAGTTACGATATGTGATACTCTGCTAGGCCTAGATAACCTCAACTGACTAGCACCAGAAGTGAAAGGCAAAGTCCTAACAAGGTCTGGGACCTGTTTCCAGACTAACACCAGAAACACCAGGGATAAACTCCATACTCCTATCCCAAAACTTATCCGAATGAGTGGTCGAACGCCAAGGGGACAACAAACCACTGGAACTTGTGTGTGCGTCACTTACCTCTTGGCCTTGTGTTGCCGAAGTTGGTGTTTTATCCATTATTCAGATAAAATAAATAAATTATCTGAATAAAACAAATAAATAATACAAATTACTATTGAAATAATATAAATATAAATTTTCTATACAGAAAAAACATGGTTAAGCAAAAAACTTTTTCCTTCTCAAAAAACGTGCAGCATGAACCATGGAACCGTAAAAAATGATGAAGGTTTATGGCACGCATGCGTCAGGTGGGAGAGGTTGTCACGGGGGTATGGTTCTTTTTTCTGGCTGGTTTCCGGTTGAATAATGCAGCGAGTGGAAAAATTAGCAATTTTCCAAGTTATAAAGTGGCATAACTCTAGAACAGTAAGTGAATAACTGCCCAAATTCGAACTCTGTCTGTGTGTTGTAGTTCTTAGCAATGTGTATGACTTTCATAAAATTTGGATGAGACAAACTTAAGTTAGAGTGTGGAAACGAAAATGGGAGGGACAGAAAGACGGAAGGACGGACTGTCCAGGGTAACACTTAATGCCCCCATTGTCTACAATAAGGCATAAAAATAGACCTGAACCTTAAACCAATCATACAAACCATTACAAATGCATCATACCTCTCTTGATAAAAATTCTATGTCTGCTTCATACTGTTCACCATCTTCATTGTTTTCTATCTTTACCACCACAGATGTACATGCTTGTGTTCCTGATGTCGGTAAAACACTAAACTGATCTAGCACAGCATTAATCAGACTAGATTTACCTGAGCCAGTAGCTCCTACTACCGCTATGGTCACTTTTGGTATGATCAGCTGCTTCTCAAGTTCTTCCAAATCTTTTCTGAATATTAAAAATTGTAAAATATTGTAAATCATTTGGTTTTCATTAAACATAACATTATGCCCTGCCATCATAGAAGTTGCCAACAAGGAATAATTGGTTGGCAGACAACTGAATTTTACCACTCACTGTATACCTGAGAATTCATGTGCAGGTATGCTATTACAGACACTGACATGGATATACATTTCTGAAATTGTTTCTCATGTTTGAGAAATACTTGTTAATTTTGTATTGGTAAAATGACTTTATTTGTCGAAATCATGTGAAAATCTGTCTAAATTTAAGTTTTCTGGAGAAACCTTGACAGAACCCCATTGTTTACAGAAATGTTTGTGTGTAAAAAAGACTACCGGTACTCAAAACTTGTTGACTTTGCAATATGTTTGTATACATGAAATTCAAGTGTTCAAAGTTCTGTCGCAGAAAAAGCCCAATCCAGTAAGAAAAACATTCCTCCTGGTCAGATGATACCTGTCAGACAGACATATACACCTTACAATCATTCCATACACCAAATATAGTTGACCTATTGCTTATAGTTTAAGAAAACCAGACCATAACACAATAAAATGCTTCGCTGGGCGCAGCTTGATACGACCGCAGAGGTCGAACCCTGAACAGTTGGGGCAAGTATGGACACAACATTCAAGCTTGATACAGCTCTGAATTTGGATTGTGATTAAATATTTGACACAGCATAGGTTTCTGACACAGAAAGAATGTGGTCTAAGAACTTCAATTTTTTTAATTTACCTATTATGGTCCAATGTCCAAAATCAAAATACATGGTTAGATTCAGCATATCAAAGAACCCCATATATTCAAAGTTTAATTTTGGACCCCAACTTGGACAAACTTGAAAACTGGTCCCATAATCAAAAATCTAAACACATGTTTAGATTCAGCATATCAAAGTACCCCAAGAATTCAATTTTTGTTAAAATCAAACTAAGTTTAATTTTGGACCCTTTGGACCTTAATGTAGACAAATTTAAAAAACGGGACCCAAAATTAAAAATCTAAAAACACGGTTAGATTTGGCATATCAAAGAACCCCAATAATTAAATTTTTGATGAAATCAAACAAAGTTTAATTTTGGACCCTTTTGACCTCAATATGAACCAATTTGATAGCGGGCCCACAAATAAAAAATCTAAATACATGGTAAGATTCAGCATATCAAAGAACCCCATATATTCAATTTTTGTTGAAATCAAACAAAGTTTAATTTTGGACCCCAATTTGGACCAACTTGAAAACTGGGCCAAAAATCTAAAATCTAAATACATGTTTTGATTCAGCATATCAAAGAACCCCATATATTCAATTTTTGTTGAAATCAAACAAAGTTTAATTTTGGACCCCAACTTGGACCAACTTGAAAACTGGTCCCATAATCAAAAATCTAAACACATGTTTAGATTCAGCATATCAAAGAACCCCAAAAATTCAATTTTTGTTAAAATCAAACTAAGTTTAATTTTGGACCCTTTGGACCTTAATGTAGACCAATTTAAAAAACAGGACCCAAAATTAAAAATCTAAATACACGGTTAGATTTGGCATATCAAAGAACCCCAATAATTCAATTTTTGATGAAATCAAACAAAGTTTAATTTTGGACCCTTTTGACCTCAATATGAACCAATTTGATAGCAGGCCCACAAATAAAAAATCTAAATACATGGTAAGATTCAGCATATCAAAGAACCCCATATATTCAATTTTTGTTGAAATCAAACAAAGTTTAATTTTGGACCCCAATTTGGACCAACTTGAAAACTGGGCCAAAAATCTAAAATCTAAATACATGTTTAGATTCAGCATATCAAAGAACCCCATATATTCAATTTTTGTTGAAATCAAACAAATTTAATTTTGGACCCAACTTGGACCAACTTGAAAACTGGGCCCATAATCAAAAATCTAAACACATGTTTAGATTCAGCATATCAAAGAACCCCAAGAATTCAATTTTTGTTAAAATCAAACTAAGTTTAATTTTGGACCCTTTGGACCTTAATGTAGACCAATTTAAAAAACGGGACCCAAAATTAAAAATCTAAATACACGGTTAGATTCGGCATATCAAAGAACCCCAATAATTCAATTTTTGATGAAATCAAACAAAGTTAAATTTTGGACCCTTTGGACCTCAATGTGGACCAATTTAAAAACGGGGCCCAAAATCCAAAAACTTAATACACGGTTAGATTCAGCATGTTAAAGAACTCCAAGAATTCAAGAATAAAACCCCATTGAAATTGATCAAGAAATAAGCAATTTATACAAAGTATCTTCTTTTGCACAATACTGTGCAATTGAATATTTCTTGCTATTGCGCAATACTGTACAATTGACAATTTCTTGCTATTGCGCAATATTGTGCTATTGGATATTTCTTGCTATTGCGCAATAGAAGATTTCTTGCTATTGCGCAATACTGTGCAATTGAAGATTTCTTGCTATTGTGCAATACTGTGCAATTGAAAATTTCTTGCTATTGCACAATACTTATTATATAATAATTTACACATCCTGTTTGGTGTGTATCTCCTACCATATCATTATTATTTGCTTTTCAATATAAATCAGAAATAACCAACTTAAAATGGAAAATTTTAAAAGAAAAAAAAAGGAAAAAAAAAAAAAAAAAAAAAAAAAAAATCCCCCCCCCAAATTTTTTGAACCCCCTTATGATTCATCACCCCCAAACTCAACCCCAGCCTTCCCTTTGTGGTATGGTACCTTGCAGTACAATTTCAGAGAGATCCATACACTTGAACACAAGTTATTGTCTGGAAACTAGAAAAATGCTTATTTTTGGCCCCTTTTTGGCCCCCAATTCCTAAACGTTTCGGGCAATTACCCCCAAACTCAATTCCAGCCTTCCCTTTGTGATATGGAACCTTGTAGTACAATTTCAGAAATATCCAAACACTTACACACAAGTTATTGTCATGAAACTAGAAAAATGCTTGTTTTTTGCCCCTTTTTTGGCCCCTAATTCCTAAAATTTTGAGGCAATTACCCCCAAAATCAATTACAGCCTTCCCTTTGTGATATGGAACCTTGTGGTACAATGTCAGAGAGATCCATACACTAACACACAAGTTATTGTCTGAAAGTTACAAAAATGCTTATTTTTGGCCCCTTTTTGGCCCCTAATTCCTTAACTGTTGGTACCATAACCCCCAAAATCAATCCCAACCTTCCTTTCGTGGTATTGAACCTTATGGTGAAATTTCATGGAGATCCATTCACTTAAACTAAAGTTAGAGTGCGAAAACCAATGTGTCTTCGGACGACGCCGGACGACGACGACGACGACAACGACGACGACGACGACGACGACGCCAACGTCATACCAATATACGACCAAAAAATTTTCAATTTTTGCGGTCGTATAAAAACTTAACACTAAGCGATGAACCGTGAGAATGAGGTCAAGGTCAAATAAAACCTTCCAAACTGACATGTACATCGTAAAATATTTCCATACACCAAATATAGTTGACCTATTGCATATAGTATTAAAAAAAAAGATCAAAAAACAAAAAACTTAACTTTAACCACTGAACCATGAAAATGAGGTCAAGGTGAGATGACACCTGCCAGTTGGACATGTACACCTTACAATCATTCCATACACCATATATAGTTGACCTGTCACGAAATAGAAGTTCCTTCATAATATAAGTTCCAATTAGAAAAAGTATTCTGGAATATTATTTCCAGTGGAACAAATATTATTTCTTATGCAGCAAAAATACTGCAATCTGATTGGTTAAATACCCCGGTGTAAATAACACCCCACCCTTGTTCACCCCGGGATAAATAAAATTTTGCCAAAAAATTAAAAAAAAATAAAGAAAAAAATTAAAAAAAAAAAAAAAAAAAAAAATTAAAATTTTTTTTCCGAAAATTCAAAAGAACAGAAAAATTTTCTGAATTTCCCAAAAATAAAGAAAAAAAGTATTTGACAATGCGCAGCAATATCGACGTTGAAAAAATGTTACACTGGAAATTTTCCATTACCATTTTTCAGTTTTACATCCTGGTTTAGAAATAAGTAAAGGAATTGTTCATAAGAAATAAATTCGTTATCTTGGTGCACCTCAGGGTGTATGAATTTTCAACAACGGTGTAAAATTCTGTACACCCCTGATTACACCAAGATAACTAATATTATAGTACATGTTCCTAACGAAATAAATGGTAGAGAATATTTATTTTTACAGGAATGGATATGACATTGTTTATAACAAAGTTTCTAGTGGAACATCTGTTAGATGGAACAAATATACGTTGACAGACCTATTGCTTATAGTTTAAGAAAAACAGACCACAACACAAAAACTTTACACTGAGCAATGAACCGTGAAAACAAGGTCAAGGTCAAATAAAACCTGCCAGACTGACATGTACATCGTAAAATATTTCCATACACCAAATATGGTTGACCTATTGCATATAGTATTAGAAAAAAAGACCAAAACATTTGTCAAGGTCAAGGTCAGATGACACCTGCCAGTTGGACATGTACACCTTACAATCATTCCCTACACCAAATATAGTAGACCTATTGCTTATATTATATGATATATGGACTTAAATTTGAAAACTTAACCTTGTTCACTGATCCATGAAATGAGGTTGAGGTCAGATGAAAACTGTCTGACAGGCATGAGGACCTTGCAAGGTACGCACATACTAAATATAGTTATCCTATTACTCATAATAAGAGAGAAATTAACACTATTTTTTTCAAGTAGTCACTGAACCATGAAAATGAGGTCAAGGACAATGGACATATGACAGACGGAAACTTCATAACATAAGGCATCTATATCATGTATATAGAAAGTATGAAGCATCCAGGTCTTCCACCTTCTAAAATATAAAGCTTTTAAGTAGTAATTTAACCAAAGCCGCCGCTGGATCACTATCCCTATGTCGAGCTTTCTGCAACAGAAGTCGCAGGCTCGATAATATAATTATGAAAAGAAGAGTAGGGGTTAGTGGGCAAACTTTTTGACAGCAAAACATTTGGATAAAACCATAGGATTCCTTATATCTGACACAAAGTCAAAAACAAGAAAAAAGTGAACATCCTTAATTGAACATCTTGTCTTGCTTATTATTTCTGCTTATTTAAGTTTTTGAATCTATTTATTATAATTTTTAAGATATAAGGCAAAAAAAAAAAAACAATAAAAGTGACGCTACCCAAATTTGTACTTGATCTGAGTTTTGTGGTAATAAGTATTGTGTATAGGTGTCATAGTGTTTGGTTGGTGCAAACTTAAGTTACAGAACGGAAACTAAAAATTTTGCAATTTTTCGAATTTATAAAGGGGCATAACTCGGTAATGGTTAAAGTGATGCCACCAAAATTCAACTTGATCTGTGTTTTGTGGTAATGAGCATTGTGTATAAGTTTCATAACATTTGGTTGAGGCAACTTAAGTTAGAGAACGGAAACTAAAAATTTTGCATTTTTTTTTCCACTTATAAAGGGGCATAACTTGAAAATGGTTAAAGTGACCCCACGAAAATTCAAATTTGATCTGTATTTTGTGGTAATAAGCATTGTGTATAAGTTTCATAACATTTGGTTGAGGCAAACTTAAGTTAGAGAACGGAAACTAAAAATTTTGTAATTTTTTCATTTATAAAGGGGCATAACTCTAGAACGGTTCGAATGACGCTACCAAAATTCAAACTTGATCTGTATTATGTGGTAATTAGCATTGTGTATAAGTTTCATAACATTTGGTTGAGGCAAACTTAGTTAGAGAACGGAAACTAAAAATTTTGCAATTTTTCAATTAATAAAGAGGCATAACACTATAATGGTTAAAGTGACGCCACCAAAATTCAAACTTGGTCTGTGTTTTGTGGTACAGTAATAAGCATTGTGTATAAGTTTCATAACATTTGGTTGAGGCAAACTCAAGTTAGAGAACGGAAAACAATTTTGGGACCGTACGTACGTACAGACAGACAGACAAGGGTAAAACTTAATGCCCCCTCCACTACGGCGGGGGCATAAAAATAGGTAAAATCATCATTATAACTCCTACAAGAATTTTCTGACAGTTTTGATGAAAATAGACAATAGGTAGATCTCAACATTTTAACATTTCTGATCTTGTCAGAGATCCTCTTTTTATAGCCGTTCCCTAAATAATAGACAAAACTTGCATTTTATCACTATGTTCTATATTTAGCCATGTCAGCCATTTTGGTTGGCAGGCGGAGGCATCAAACACATTTTTCTTTAAACAAGATACTCCAATGATGATTGTGACTAAGTTTGGCAGTTTCAGAGGAGAAGATTTTTGTAAAAGTTAATGACGACGGACGCCAAGTGATGAGAAAAGCTCACTTGGTCCTGTGGGCCAGGTGAGCTAAAAATACAACTAATAATATCCATGTGTTGTTACACAATTCTTTGCCCATGGGCTATGTTTACCAGCTGTTGACTAGATTGGCTTAAATTAGTATACAGCTATATTTTTGTCAGGTAAATAAGGTTCTTTGGTTCATAAAAATGTATACCTTGGTAAAATAAAATGCTCAGCTGGGCGCAGCTTGATACGACCGCAGAGGTAGAACCCTGAACAGTTGGGGCAAGTATGGACACAACATTCAAGCTTGATACAGCACTGAATTTGGATTGTGATTAAATATTTGACACAGCATAGGTTTCTGACACAGAATGAATGTGGTCTAAGAACTTAAAAAAATTTAATTTACCTATTCAAACCATATCATTATTATTTGCTTTTATATAAAAATCAGAAATAACCAATTTAAAAAGGAAAATTTTAAAGAAAAAAAAAAGGAAAAAAAGGAAAAAAAAACCCTCCCCCAAATTTTTTGAACCCCCTTATGATTCATCACCCCCAAACTCAATCCCAGCCTTCCCTTTGTGGTATGGTACATTGCAGTACAATTTCAGAGAGATCCATACACTTGAACACAAGTTATTGTCTGAAAACTAGAAAAATGCTTATTTTAAGGCCCCTTTTTGGCCCCAAATTCCTAAACATTTAGGGCAATTACTCCCAAACTCAAACCCAGCTTTCCCATTGTGATATGGAACCTTGTAGTACAATTTCATAAAGATCCATACACTTACACACAAGTTATTGTCCTGAAACTAGAAAAATGCTTGTTTTTTTCCCCTTTTTGGACCCCTTATTCCTCAAATTTTGAGGCAATTACCCCCAAAATCAATCCCAGCCTTCCCTATGTGGTATGGTACCTTGCAGGACAATTTCAGAGAGATCCATACACTTGAACACAAGTTATTGTCTGGAAACTAGAAAAATGCTTAATTTTGGCCCCTTATTCCTAAATGTTTTGGGCAATTACCCCCAAACTCAATTCCAGCTTTCTCTTTGTGATATGGAATCTTGTAGTACAATTTCAGAAAGATCCATACACTTACACACAAGTTATTGTCATAAAACTAGAAAAATGCTTGTTTTTTGCCCCTTTTTTGGCCCATAATTCCTAAAATTTTGAAGCAATTACCCCCAAAATCAATCCCAGCATTCCCTTTGTGATATGGAACCTTGTGGTACAATGTCAGAGAGATCCATACACTAACACACAAGTTATGTCTGGAAGTTACAAAAATGCTTATTTTTGGCATTTTTTGGCCCCTAATTCCTTAACTGTTGGTACCATAACCCCCAAAATCAATCCCAACCTTCCTTTTGTGGTATTGAACCTTATGGTAAAATTTCATAGAGATCCATTCCCTTAAACTAAAGTTAGAGTGCCAATGTGTCTTCGGACGACGACGACGACAAGGACGACGACAACGCCAACGTCATACCAATATATGACTGCAAATTTTTTGCAGTCGTATAAAAAGAAGAAAGCTTCATTCAGCCAACTGATGCTTCCCGAAATGCACAATTTTAACACATATAAAACATTTTCTTTTCAAGGGTTCAAAATACTGGTATGTTTGGAGGGACAAATAAACATGCTAGTTTTTTATATGTATAAATTTGAGACAATTCATAGTGGTATATCATCATGAAACCAACTTAAAAAAAAAATTCTCTTTTTAGTAACAGTCACCTTGACATGTTGACCCAAAAAACAAAAGGGCATCTTCCCCTTCCCTGTATCTTTCATTTGTATAAGTTTCATTACAATCAAGCAAGGGAAACTCAAGCTACCATTTGAAAAATAGTTTTCCTATTTTTTCCAATTTCTAGTAACAGTCACCTTGACCTTTGACCTATTGACCCCAAAATTAATAGCTTTCTTTCCCTTTCCCTTACAATTCTAATTAAGCAAGGGAAACTCAAGCTACCTTCCAGAAATAATTTTCCTTTAAAAATGTCTATGTTTTAGTAACAATGACCCTTGAATCTATTAACCTAGTAATAGACCAATAGGCTTCTATCCCTTACCTATGTCATCCATTTGTTTAAGATTCATAGCAAATCAAACAAAGAAAGGACTGACATTAAAGCTATTTTGAGGGACCATTAAAACATTTTAATCTCTGTTTGAGAGGTATTCATGTTAAAAATTTCCTATATTTAGAGTAAATGTTTTCTTTACAAGCCCAAAGTTGTATGAAAGATTATAAAAGATAGTAATTAGTATATTTAAGTTTACCCATCAACTTGTTTATCAAGCTAGAAATGTCAGTTTTTCACAAGATAAGCATTGAAAATCAATACTTGAGGCTGTAAAGAGCCTTTGTCGCTCACCTGCATCTTCAACAATAGCCACTTTTAGTAAAAATCATCATTAAAGGGGAATAACTCTATTAAGAGTTAGCTAACAATTTCAGTCATTTTGATATGTTTGTAGATCTTATCCTCCTGCTAATGTTTCCTATTTAAAGTTTCTATTTAACTATTATTGTTTTCAAGATAATAGGCAAAAAATGCATAAAAATGCTAAAAATTATCCTTTAAGGGCAATAACTCAAATAACGAGTAGACTGAAGATTTCGCCCGTTTTGGCTCATTTGTAGATCTTGCATTGCTGATAATTTGTGCTATTTAAATTTTCTATTTATTTATTACAGTTTTCAAGATAATAGGCAATAAAATGCTCCGCCGCCCGCAGCTTGATACAACCGCAGAGGTCGAACCCTGAACAGTTGGGGCAAGTATGGACACAACATTCAAGCTTGATACAGCACTGAATTTGGATTGTGATTAAATATTTGACACAGCATCGATTTCTGACACAGAATGAATGTGGTCTATGAACTTAAATTTTTTTAATTTACCTATTCAAACCATATCATTATTATTTGCTTTTATATATAAATCAGAAATAACCAATTTAAAATGGAAAATTTTAAAGAAAAAAAATATCCCTCCCCAAAATTTTTTGAACCCCCTTATGATTCATCACCCCCAAACTCAATCCCAGCCTTCCCTTTGTGGTATGGTACCTTGCAGTACAATTTCAGAGAGATCCATACACTTGAACACAAGTTGTTGTCTGGAAACTAGAAAAATGTTTGTTTTTAGGCCCCTTTTTGGCCCCAAATTCCTAGACGTTCAAGGCAATTATCCCCAAACTCAAACCCAGCTTTCCATTTGTGATATGAAACCTTGTAGTACAATTTCAGAGAGATCCATAGACTTACACACAAGTTATTGTCCTGAAACTAGAACGGTTGTATAAAAATGCTTGTTTTTTGCCCCTTTTTTGCCCCTAATTCCTAAAATTTTGAGGCAATTACCCCAAAAATCAATCCCAGCCTTCCCTATGTGGTATAGTACCTTGCAGTACAATTTCAGAGAGATCCATACAATCAAACACAAGTTATTGTCTGGAAACTAGAAAAATACTTATTTTTGGCCCCTTATTCCTAAACGTTTTGGGCAATTACCCCCAAACTCAATTCCAGCTTTCCCTTTGTGATATGGAACCTTGTAGTACAATTTCATAAAGATCAATACACTTACACACAAGTTATTGTCATGAAACTAGAAAAATGCTTGTTTTTTGCCCCTTTTTGGCCCCTAATTCCTAAAATTTTGAAGCAATTACCCCCAAAATCAATCCCAGCATTCCCTTTTTGATATGGAACCTTGTGGTACAATGTCAGAGAGATCCATACACTAACACACAAGATATGTCTGGAAGTTACAAAAATGCTTATTTTTGGCCCCTTATTCCTTAACTGTTGGTACCATAACCCCCAAAATCAATCCCAACCTTCCTTTTGTGGTATTGAACCTTATGGTAAAATTTCATAGAGATCAATTCACTTAAACTAAAGTTAGAGTGCGAAAACTAATGTGTCTTCGGACGTCGACGACGACGACGACGACAACTACGACGACGACGCCAACGTCATACCAATATAAGACTTTTGCGGTTGTATTAAAATGGGGAAAATTGTCATTAAAGGGCAATTACTTCAATAAGAAGTTGACTAGCAATTTCAGCTATGTTGATTTATTCGTAGATCTTGTCTTGCTGACAAATTTTGATGTTTATAAAGTTTCTATCTATCGATTATAGTTTTTAAGATATTAGGCACATACTTAAATAAAATGCTCCGCTGGGCTCAGTTTGATACGACTGCAGAGGTCGAACCCTGAACAGTTGGGGCAAGTATGGACACAACATTCAAGCTTGATACAGCTCTGAATTTGGATTGTGATTAAATATTTGACACAGCATAGGTTTCTGACACAGAATGAATGTGGTCTAAGAACTTAAAAATTTTTAATTTACCTATTATTGTCCAATATCCAAAATCTAAATACATGGTTAGATTCAGCACATCAAAGAATCCAAAGAATTCAATTTTTGATGAAATCAAACAAAGTTTAATTTTGGACCCTTTTGACCTCAATGTGGACCAATTTGATAACGGGGCCTAAAAATCAAAATACATGGTTAGATTCAGCATATCAAAGAACCCCATATATTCAATTTTTGTTGCAATCAAACAAAGTTTAATTTTGGACTCCAACTTTGAACAACTTGAAAACTGGGCCCATAATCAAAAATCTAAACACATGTTTAGATTCAGCATATCAAAGAACCCCAAGAATTCAATTTTTGTTAAAATCAAACTAAGTTTAATTTTGGACCCTTTGGACCTTAATGTAGACCAATTTAAAAAATGGGACCCAAAATCAAAAATCTAAATACACGGTTAGATTTGGCATATCAAAGAACCCCAATAATTCAATTTTTGATGAAATCAAACAAAGTTTAATTTTGGACCCTTTTGACCTCAATATGAACCAATTTGATAGCGGGGCCCACAAATAAAAAATCTAAATACATGGTTAGATTCAGCATATCAAAGAACCCCATATATTCAATTTTTGGTAAAATCAAACTAAGTTTAATTTTGGACCCTTTGGACCTTTATGTAGACCAATTTGAAAACTGGACCCAAAATTAAAAATCTTAATACACGGCTAGATTCGGCATAACAAATAAATAAATGTGGTCAAAGATTTTACAAATCTACTGCACCATACTGTGCAATTAAAGGTAACTTCTTGAAATTTTTCAATATTTGAAATTTGAAAAAAAAATAATATTTGAAGAATAATTCTTTTTAATTTCTGAAATCTGAAATGAGAAAAAATTGACCCCCCACAATTTCTTTTTACCCCCCCCCCCCCCCCCCCCAAAAAAAATGCTTTCCCTCAAGATATGGTCATAATTGCAATTCAAATTTCCAATTACCCATTTAAATTTACCATAGTGCTAACTTAATCTATTTTATAATAGAATTTAAAATACGGTGTCAAATCTTTCATATGGATTTTTTTGTAAAAAAAAAAGGTGCAACATTTGCAGATATTTTTACTGGTCTTCCTTTATAAATAAATATGCATTTCTTTAAACATAATTTAAAAGCAGTGTAAGGGAAGTAATCAAAACGTTGTATTTGGATTACCTCCCTTACACTGTTTTAAATTGTCTTAATTGTTCATTAACCATTACTTTATACATAATTTAAAAGCAGTGTAAGGGAGGTAATTCAAATATTGTATTTGATTTATCTCCCTTACACTGCTTTAAATTATGTTTTGTACTAATGTATTTGTCCATTAACCAGGACAACCTTGGTTTTCCCCCTTTTTTGCCCCTAATTCCTAAACGGTTTGAGCCATAACCCCCTAAAGCAAATCCTAACCATCCCTTTGTGGTATGGAAACTTGTGGTATAATTTCAAGAGATCCATACACCGTTCCACAAGTTATTGTCTGGAAACTAGAAAATGCTTATTTTTGGCCCCTTTTTGGCCCCTAATTCCTAACTGTTGGTACCATAACCCCCAAAATCAATCCCAACCTTCCTTTTGTGGTATTGAACCTTATGGTAAAATTTCATAGAGATCCATTCACTTAAATTAAAGTTAGAGTGCGAAAACCAATATGTCTTCGGACGACGACGACGACGACGCCAACGTCATACCAATATACGACCCCAAAATTTTTTTGCGGTCGTATAAAAATTGGTAAAAATTATCATTAAAGGGCAATAACTCTAATAACGAGTAAACTGAAGATTTCAGCTATGTTTGACTTATTTGTAGATCCTGTCCTGCTGATCTTTTTTGCTTTTTAAAGATTCTATCTATCTATTATTGTTTTAAGATATTAGGCAATAATGCAAAAAATTGGTGAAAATCGTCGTTAAAGGGCAATAGCTCTAATAAGGAGATTTTGGTCGTGTGGACTTATTTGTAGATCTTGTCTTGCTGATCATTTTCCTTTTTAAAGTTTCTATCTAGCTATAACAATTTTTGAAATAAAATGGACACAAATTTTTAAAATGGTAAAAATTGTCATTTAAGGCAATAACTCCTTTTTGACATAAATGGACAATATTTAGGTAGAGCTCGACATTCTGAACATTTTTGCCCTGTCAGATTTTCTCTATTTAAAGCGATTTTTGAAATAATAGGCAAAACTTACATTTTACCCCTATGTTCTATTTTTAGCCATGGCGGCCATGTTGGTTGACTTGCTGTGTCATCGGACACATTTTTAAAAATAAATACCCTAATGATTGTGGCCAAGTTTGGTTAAATTTGGCACAGTAGTTTCAGAGAAGATTTTTGAAAAAGTTTGGCGCCAAGTGATGAGAAAAGCTCAGTTAACCCTTCGGCCAGGTGAGGTAAAAAAGGTAGATAATCATGTTACAATACAAAGGTGAACAAAGATATCTTTTATTAATAGTAAATCTAACACCATCATGACCATACACTTTGGCTCAAGGCTTCCAAAACAGTCATATATTCTGGACATTTGTATAATGTCCGGTAAAAGTCCGGCTGGGCAAAGCATGAAACGGTTATCTACTTTTTAGTTTTCAAGGCTTTCTTAAGAGACGGTCATTTTTACATAATTCGCGATCTTTTTGACCCAACCTTTTGCCTTTAACAGCCACACATTTCCGGTCATAAAAGTGACATGATCATTAAGTACTATCAAAACAACCCCTACTTTTTAATACCTTCTCATTTTAATCAAGGCTAATTAGTTGTCGAACAGCTGAAATTTACCTGTTCAGGTGACAGGTAAACTATTTTGAACCGGACATTGATCGGTCTATACAAAGTTATTTTCTTACATTTCAGCAGTTTGCATCTAATTATTTAGTCAAAAAGATTTAAAATTATCAGAAATACGTTTACAAATATGATTTGATGAAAAAATTAACTAGAGGCTCTGAAGAGCCTGTGTCGCTCACCTTGGTCTATTTGCATATTAAACAAAGGACAAAGATGTATTCATGACAAAATTGTGTTTTGGTGATGGTGATGTGTTTGTAGATCTTACTTTACTGAACATTCTTGCTGCTTACAATTATCTCTATCTATAATGAACTTGGCCCAGTAGTTACAGTGGAAAATATTTTGTAAAAATTTACAAAAATTTACAAAATTTATGAAAATTGTAAAAAATTGACTATAAAGGGCAATAACTCCTTAAGGGATCAATTGACAATTTTGGTCATGTTGACTTATTTGTAGATCTTACTTTGCTGTACATTATTGCTGTTTACAGTTTATCTCTATCTATAATAATATTCAAGATAATAACCAAAAGCTGCAAAATTTTCTTAAAATTACCAATTCAGGGCAGCAACCCAACAACGTGTTGCCTGATTGGTCTGAAAATTTCAGGGCAGATAGATCTTGACCTAATGAACAATTATATCCTTGTCAGATTTGCTCTGAATGCTTTGGTTTCAGAGATATGAGCCAAAAACTGCATTTTACCCCTATGTACTATTTTTTAGCCATGACGGCCATCTTGGTTCACGGGCGGGGTGATTGGACACATTTTTTAAACTAGATACCCAAATGATGATTGTGGACAAGTTTGGTTAAATTTGTCTTACTAGTTTCAGAGGAGAAGATTTTTGTAAAAGATTACAAAAATTTACGAAAAATGGTTAAAAATTGACTATAAAGGGCAATAACTCCTTAAGGGGTCAACTGACCATTTTGGTCAAGTTGACTTATTTGTAGATCTTACTTTGCTGAACATAATTGCTGTTTACAGTTTATCTCTATCTATAATAATATTCAAGATAATAACCAAAAAACGGCAAAATTTCCTTAAAATAACCAATTCAGGGGCAGCAACCCAACAACGGGTTGTCCGATTCATCTGAAAATTTCAGGGCAGATAGATCTTGACCTGATAAACAATTTTACCCCATGTCAGATTTGCTCTAAATGCTTTGGTTTCAGAAATATAAGCCAAAATCTACATTTTACCCCTATGTTCTATTTTTAGCCATGGCGGCCATCTTGGTTGGTTGGGCGGGTCATCGAACTCATTTTTTAAACTAGATACCCAATGATGATTGTGGCCAAGTTTGGTTTAATTTGGCCAAGTAGTTTCAGAGGAGAAGTTTTTTGTAAAAGTTAACGACGACGGACGACGACGGACGCCAAGTGATGAGAAAAGCTCACTTGGCACTTTGGGCCAGGTGAGCTAAAAACGAAACTAAAGTTTTTGACAACGTTATTTTGCACAAATAAAGAGTCTAAGGCAGATATAAGTACGCTGATGTTGCACACTTCGAATGATGCACTGCCAATTTAACAGTTTACGTCAGAACTTCGAATTTGAATCAAAGAAAGTTTAATATCGTTTTTTTTTTTTTAATATCAATCATTGGGATGGCCAACTCGGCAACTGAATACCATAATTACCTTTTGTTTATTTAGTCTTAAGGGATTAAAATCAGGATAATATATAAAATGTCCGGCTGGCTAAAAATAATTTTGGAAGCCCTGCTTTGGCTTCAAGTATATTTTCTACAACTAATCTTTCTGTCCTTTGAACTAGTTCCCTTACCACAATAAAATTACTTATAATTTTTTTCAATTAACAGCATATGAAAAAATGGAATTATTAATTATTTTTGGAGTATAAAAAACTCTTTGTGTGTTTTAGATTATTAATTATTGCTTTTGACATGTTTTTGATGGTCCTTTAAATTCTGTGAACTATCTACAATCCATTTCCACAAAATCTTATCAAACAGAAATTTTCTTGACAATATTTATGGATGTAAATTTTAGCAATTAAGTTTATTGACAGGTTGTAGGTTTTCTTATGGACACCAAATGTGCTCCTTTAATAGCAGACGTGTTCCTGTATTGTTATGAATCACAACGTGTGGTCAAGATCTGTTTAAATTCCATCTAAATTGAAAAAAATAAATAACCATTACCTTGATGATATTTTTGCTTTTATCAATCTATAATAATTCATGTTCTGCAGAAATTTACAGAAGGGAACTGTCTTTAAATAAGTCTAATATAATCAGCAATAATTGTCCTTTTCTACATTTGGATATTTCAGTTTCAACTCTGTACAAAAATTTTACAGTAAAAGAGTCATTTTTTCATTTCCTATTGTTAATTTATTTTTGGACTGTGATGCACCCTCTTCACTGTGTAGCATCACCACATGATATAAGTATTCCCAAAGCGGTAAAAAACAAATGTGAAGTCAGGTAAGGTCAAATTCTTCTTATTTTCATTTTATCTATGTTTTGCTGACAAGCAAAGTTTTGTGATACTGATTCCTAATAATGCAGCTACTATTTAGGGCTGATTATGATCCTATATTGGCTTTCTATCTTTTCAAATTGTCAGAATCAGATCGGGTGATACTTGTTCAAAGAAGCATGTGACAAGTTCAAACTTGTTAAAACACATTTACCTTTCAACTACCGGTATTCATTTGACGTTTTTGTAGAACAAAGTAATATCATATTTAAGCATGAACAACATGTATTTCGACACAAACTATTGTTTTCAGAGAAATTCATGTAAATAGAGCAGATAAATTGTATGGCTAATAGTTTTACTGTACAGGGAATAGAATAGATACTTTTTGATATTATTATTTCTTTGCCTCGGGGGTACCTATATCCGGTGGTGATGCTACACAGTGTTCTAACATAGTACATTCCCCAACTCATTCACTATGCCTGTCTGTAGTGACATTTTTAGATTTTAAAGAAACTAATCTACATGCACAATGTAGGCATAACTGGAAAAGTATGAAATCTGGGATTCTGTTACCACAAATAACTTAAAATCTGAACTCAATACTTTCATAGATACAAAAATTTGGTTTGCAAGTTTGGCTGAACCTGTAGAAACCTTATTACAAATGGGATATTACATTCTTATCTTTACAGTGATGTTGATATCAATTAAGGTTTTCAAAATATTCACCAATCATTTTAAATACAATCCACCTAAACTTATTGATCCTTTTAATAAATTTATTCTTAAATGTTATCGATTTAACAATGTAATATCTTTGAAAATTATCTTCAACGTTACTGACATTGACTTTGGTTATTTTTTTAGATTAAAACACAACTATCAATTTCTTTACAGTTGCTAACTTGTGGTTCTACATTATGTCCATACTGATATTTTGGCATTGCAATAGGTCATGCTTTTCTCAAGATTGTTTATGGAGTTTCTTCACTAAATCTGTTAGATGTTCACTGATTGATGTTTTAATATGGGAAAACCTGATGTATTTATTAGTTGTATTTGGTTGAACCAGATTGCAGCAACTGTGAGTTAAATTGGTACTTTGTGTCTTTTGTCTTTTTGTTAGTTGTTATTTCAGCTTCATGCATGCCGATATGATGAGCCAAGCCCTTTCCAACTGATTTTTACATTTTGTCATGCCAAGGCCATTTGAAGCTGATTATAGGGTATAGGTTTTGCTCATTGTTGAAGGTTGTACAATGTCCTATGGTGTTTACATCCTAGTAATTTGGTCTCTAATAGTAACAGTACAGTCAAAACTGCCTTAACGGTCACCACGTTTCAGCAGTCACCTGCCTCTAACATTCACTTTCAGATCCTCCCAAACGTTTTCTCTTTATAATTAAACTCGTTTCAGAGGATACCTGTCTAACGCAGTCAGCGGTCACCTAATTTTCGAACAAAATCATCATTTCAACTTTTAACAACACTCATTCTAATGTTTTAACTACCTGTTTGCAACCAAGATCACGCAATAGAAGGTTAATTTCAGTTTCCATTAAAAACTGTACCACCGACTAATTTCTTAACGAATATTAACATACTTCGAATTTGTCTTCACATTTACAATGCTGGAATCTGCCATTTTTTATTTCACTGCTAGCAAGATGATTTGAAACACTAAAATAATCTGCCCCGATCCCGGTTACGGGCGATATTGGAATAGGGTTGGGTTTTTTTGGAACCTTGTTTTACAGGTCACCTCTCTTGAGCTGTCACTTATGAAACTTAACAAGAGTGACTGCTTAATACAGGTTCTACTGTATTAAGATTTGGAGATTGTGGGCATTTACTGGCAATTTGATAGTAGCAAAGCCCTTTTGAATGATGTAAGTAGAGCCAATAAATGTATATTTGTGACCAACATTGACATGATTGATGATCAATGCTGTTATCTCCATTATACAGCAACGGAAAGAAAACATCCTACATTTGAAAATCTATCTCCATGTCTGAACTTGCCTGCATAATTTCAAACCATCAATCGTGGAACTGATGCCCTGAAATTTATGGTGTTTTCTTCCAAAATAAACATTACAAAAAATGTTGCATCAAATTTGATCATACTTCTGGAATTCTTATGTTTCCAGCTGATGATGTCAATGGATTGTACATTTAGCATCCCTGTGTTTTGTCTGATATTGCTGCTGTTGGAGTAAATGTGCAATGTTGATTGCCAAAAACTAAGTCTGTTTATCAGTAAATACAGTAATACAGGAAAATTTTTTTTTTTTAATTAACTGTTTTCTTCAGATGCTATTTCCTGATCTGAAAGAAGATTCTGTCAAAGTTTCATAACAATACCATTCCACAAATTATCACAAAATTATTGATGTCTAAAAAAAAATCTAGCAATGTATCTAAATGTTAACTGTAAAAAACAAAACCAAGTCCATTAAGGTAGCTGGGGTGTCTTCCTCTATCCTGGATTTTGCAATAGCAGATAACAATCGGTCTAGATCTTTAATGAAATGTGCAAATTTCGAGAGTAGTATGTAATTCATGTGTAAGACTTTTCATGTTAATATAGAAAATTATGTGTTTTATCATATTTATGGCTGTATTTACACAAAAAAACAGAATATTTTTATTTGATTCTTTTTTTTTCAACTTTTCCACATAAGGGGAGATAACTCAGATACAAGGGGCAATAACTCAGATAAAGTAACTTTTATAATAGAATGTGTTGTGAATTTACCTATTTTATTATGTAGCAAGAAAATGAGTCAGGTGACCCCATTTTTTCTTTTTCTTATCTGAAAGCATATTTTTAGAGCTATCTTCTCATATTTTATCTTAAAATTCTATGGTGTAGTTTTCTTTTTATCACACAAAATAGGAGTTTCCATGCATAATCTATACAAAATCTTACAATTTTGTATAACCTGTAGCATGAAAAAAAGCCACTTTTTATCATATTTTTGAAAAAAGCATGATATAAACTACATTTTGACAAATTATTAAAAAATTCTATGGATTTTAATTTAGACCCCCTCCATATTTTCAAAATTTTGCGTTTGCAATGCAATATCATGACTATCTCTTATAGCTTTTTTTCAAAAAGTCCTTAAAATTTTGAATTATTGATGTCTAAAAAATTAATCCAAGGCTGTATATAAATGCTAAAATTTTGTCAACAAAAAAAACTATGTCCTTTCATGAGGTTCTGGTTGGGGTTTACAGAATAGAGAATAACGGCCAAAAAAATACCAAATAGAGAAAAAAAAAGAATAGAGAATAATGATTTGCAAAATTATAAAAGAACAACTGTAGAAAATAAAATAATCAGGTAATACAATCATGATTACAGATATGAGCAATGTACAGAATAAAGAAATCATATAATTACAGACAAAATTTGTAAAACAATTTTCATGAGAATTTTACAGAATGCATGTTATTTTTAATTCTCTGAAATATTAAATTAAATAAAATGCTCTACTGGGGCTCAGCTTGATACGACCGCAGAGGTCGAACCCTGAACAGTTGAGGCAAGTATGGACACAACATTCAAGCTTGATACAGCACTGAATTTGGATTGTAATTAAATATTTGACACAGCATAGGTTTCTGACACAGAATGAATGTGGTCTAAGAACTTATTTTTTTTTAATTTACCTATTCAAACCATATCATTATTATTTACTTTTATATATAAATCAGAAATAACCAATTTAAAATGGAAAATTTTAAAGAAAAAAAAGGAAAAAAAAATCCCCCCCAAATTTTTTGAACCCCCTTATGATTCATCACCCCCAAACTCAATCCCAGCCTTCCCTTTGTGGTATGGTACCTTGCAGTACAATTTCAGAGAGATCCATACACTTGAACACAAGTTATTGTCTGGATACTAGAAAAATGCTTGTTTTTTGGCCCCTTTTTGGTCCCAAATTCCTAAACGTTTAGGGCAATTACCCCCAAACTCAAACCCAGCTTTCCCTTTGTGATATGGAACCTTGCAGTACAATTTTATAAAGATCCATACACTTACACACAAGTTATTGTCCTGAAACTAGAAAAATGCTTGTTTTGTGGCCCTTTTATGGCCCCTAATTCCTAAAATTTTGAGGGAATTACCCCCAAAATCAATCCCAGCCTTCCCTTTGTGGTATGGTACCTTGCAGTACAATTTCAGAGAGATCCATACACTTGAACATATGTTATGGTCTGGAAACTAGAAAAATGCTTATTTTTGGCCCCTTTTTGGCCCCTTATTCCTAAACTTTTTGGGCAATTACCCCCAAACTCAATTCCAGCTTTCCCTTTGTGATATGGAACCTTGTAGTACAATTTCATAAAGATCCATACACTTACACACAAGTTATTGTCATGAAACTAGAAAAATGCTTGTTTTTTGCCCCTTTTTGGCCCCTAATTCCTAAAATTTGGAGGCAATTACCCCCCAAAATCAATCCCAGCATTCCCTTTGTGATATGGAACCTTGTGATATAATGTCAGAGAGATCCATACACTTACACACAAGTTGTTGTCATGAAACTAGAAAAATGCTTGTTTTTTGCCCCTTTTTGGCCCCTTATTCCTAAAATTTGGAGGCAATTACCCCCAAAATCAATCCCAGCATTCCCTTTGTGATATGGAACCTTGTGGTACAATGTCAGAGAGATCCATACACTTACACACAAGTTATGTCTGGAAGTTACAAAAATGCTTATTTTTGGCCACTTTTGGCCCCTTATTCCTTAACTGTTGGTACCATAACCCCCAAAATCAATCCCCACCTTCCTTTTGTGGTATTGAACCTTATGGTAAAATTTCATAGAGATCAATTCACTTAAACTAAAGTTAGAGTGTGAAAACTAATGTGTCTTCGGACGACGACGCCGGACAACGACGACACCAACGTCATACCAATAAACGACCACAAAATTTTTTTTTGCAGTCGTATTAAAATGAAGAAACCCCCATCAATACCCTCTTTTATATTTAAAATCAGTTAAATGAAAAAAAAAAAAATTCAAATTTTGCTCTGGATACTAGTCTTATGATCATTAAAATGCATTCATAAAATTCCATGAAGGTTTGACAAAGTAATTGATGTCTGGAAAACTTTAACCTTAAACTGTTTCTTAATCATGTATCTGTAAACTGCAAAAATTATCTGTCCATTTATCAGTAAAAACAAAAAAAATCAAAATTTTACCCTCGATACTACATTGTACTGTCTTTTGATCATTAAAAAGCTTCTGTTGAAGTTTCATACAGTTCCATGAAGGTTTGTCAAAGTTATTGATGTTTAAAAAAAACTTTGAATAAAGACTGCACCTTATTTATGTTGACACTGCTGCAAAAGATTCCTACAATGGAATGTAGGAACAAAACAATATGTTGTATGCTCAACACAAATAATCATGATAATTCAGTTGACTCATCATGCTCATGAAAAACAGTAAGAACATTTTTCCACTATTATAGTCAAATTTGAGATTTTAACATGCTGTACTCTCGTTCAAAATTAAAAAAAGATTTAAATTAACAAGCATTCTGAGAGTATTGCATGGCAATACATAGTCCCCTACCGGGTAAAAATTCATTATACTGGAACAAAATGCTAACTTGTTCTATAACTTGTCATGGTGTAAACAAAAAGTAAATATCATGTCAATATCTTCAAGCATGACTTAAAACAGTGTGGAAAACTGATTGTATGAGTGAATTTTTCAAGTCCAAGGACCATAACTCTGCACAAAATTATTAGACCGAAACAAAAATTTGAACTTAATCTGTAACTTGTCATGATAAAACTATATACCAATTATCAATCAATATCTTATAAGCATGATGAAAAAAACATTAGATATGATTAATAGTTCTCTAAAATTAGATCTGATGTAATACAGTGTATATCTATTTTCAAATTATAATCAAATATAATTAATAGTTCCAAATATTTTTTCTTTCATTTGTCACAAACTAATATAGATTTGTAACTTATCTATAAAATGTCAACAACTTTTATCTACACAATGTAATGTATTGAAATATATACATTAATAAAAATAGATTATTATCTAATTAAAGGATTTCTCTTCATAATTTTTTTCATATATATAGCATTCAGAAAATTAGTTTATACTAAATAACAAACAAACCTGCTAAAAAATTCTTCAAATAATTTAACAAAGAATGTCTTTTAAAAAATGAGTTATCTCCCTTTGTACAGAAATATGGTTTAACATAGTACTCTAACATTAGATATGGTCCAGAGTTATGGTCCATAACTCTGGACTAAATCATCAGACCGGAACAAAATTCGAACTTGATCTATAACTTGTCATGATAAAACTATATACCAAATTTAAATATCAAATCAATATCTTCAAGAACAAAGAAAAAAAGTGTGGAAAGCTGATTTGCCGGACTGACAGATGGACAGACAGATGGACAGACGGACGGAGTGCAAACCTAAAGTCCCCTTCGACTTCGTCGGTAGGGGACTAAAAATCATAATCTACAAATAATTATCAAATTGTAACAGAAGGAGAATCTTTATTGCCTTACTTCCATTTATCCAATGTCTCTTTACATTTGTTCTTCTTCTGTTTAGATAAAGAATTCTTGACCTTCAGTATCAACTCTTTACACCTGGAAGATAAAATATATATATATAAAAGGAGAGTGGACATAATAAGATTTTCAGCTAGATATCTATCATAAATAAACAGTACTAGCAACTTATACAAGTCATTTTTTTTTTTACTTGAAGATGTAAAGAACATGTAATTATATACTTGTACATGTATAAGTAAAGGAGTAAGTTCACGAAGGGTTAAAATTGGCCCTAAGAATTTGATGCTTTTTTTAATCAGGACAAAATACTACAAATTTCACATAGAAATAGTTGTGACAAAACTAAATATACAAAATAACTTCTTTTTGGCACATCGCATTAAAAATGACAAAGAAATGACCCCTCAAGTATGCATTATTTATGTTGTGACGTCAGGTTTGGTCAAATTTTCAATAAATTTTATCAGTTTTTAACATAATTTACTTTGGCCGCCACCCCTGATCCAGACAATTTTTGTGTCAAGGGATTTAATATCATCATTGGCAACTTTTGGCCACTGAACATGTTGGATCCTAGGTTGCGGCCAAATGTTTCCTCAACCTTTAAGGTCAGAAAAATGCACAAAATCATCGTTTTTTAACAATATATCCAAAATAAGCTGGCTTTGAAGCATAGAATGTACTCTAATGAAGAGATTTGTTTAACCTAGCAGTAAGGCTTTTGAATTAGATCCATTTAAGAACCAAATTATATCCATTTTAATATTTTATGATAAAGTTGTATTTCAAGGCCATATTTAGCCTAAAGCATGTAAAGTGAACCTTGCCCTTTGTAAGATTTATATTTTCTTTTCAAGGTTTGAATAATCTCCCCTTAATCTTCTCCAAAATATTTGCTTATATAAGTAATTTTATTTTACAACCCCTACAATTCTCAAGTTTTGGGAGGTAACAACATGCCCTGTCAGTAACTATTTTAAACAACCAGATGATGAGCAACACAAGATGGTCAATCAAGCATGTACAGTTAATGCAAATTAAAGAACTGCTCATATTTTCATTAATGTGATTATGTTGAGTTAAAATTATACTAATAAAATATGAATCAAGTTTAATACAAGTCAATGAAGTGTGCTTTCTTTGATGCAATTTGAGTTGCAGTGCTACCATGAACATTAGTAGCTTATGGACATTACACTTAATGTAACAGAACCTACAGTGTTGTCATCCTTGTTATTAAATTATCATATCATTTGAAGTGCTGTCTTTTATTTTTCACAAGGAATTACATAAATTTCCTTCTTTGTCCATATTTTTAAATTGGAAAAGTAAACATTCACTTATTTCTACACAAGAAAATATTTGCTAGTATTCTAGCTACATGTATATATACTATCTTCTCTTCACAATAATATAAGTACAAGAATCGTGCAAATAAAAACAAGGAAAGGGCTTATTAGCACTCATCATCAGTATACAATAAGAAAAAAAATATTCTAGAGTACAAAACAGTGCACACATAAACACCCCAAAAAAATTGTAACCTTCGAAAATGTTGTCGCTCACTAAAACAACCATTGGGGTTTTCAAAATTTGGCAGGTATGAATAATACCCCTGCCTCTTGCAAAGTCAGTGCTTTGGAATTGGAAATCCCAAAAAATAATTCAGATCAAAAGCAAAATAGGAGGTTCACAAAAAAACATTATATGGTTACTTCTCCTGTGAAAGTTTCAATAAGTTCTATTTAATAATTAGGGGTTTAGGAGGAGGAGTTGCGGTACAAAATGGGTACCCCCAAATAAAGTAATGGCAAAGTCAATGCTTTGGTAAGGGAAGGTAAAACAAATGATTCAGATAAAAACACAAAATAGGATGTGTACAAAAGTATTTTATTGTTAAGATTGGGAGAAAGCTTCAATGAATTGTAACTAGAGGCTCTAAAGACCCTGTGTCACTCACCTACATCTATGTGCATCTTCAACAATGGACACTCTCAAAGATTGAGGACTAGAATAGAATTCATGACAAAAATCTGGTTTTTGTTTATCTTGTATTGCTGATCATTTTTTCTGTCAATAGTTTCTCTCTATCTTCTTCAGTTTTTGCCCAAAACATAGAAAATGAAAAGGATAAATAATAGTCTTTGAAGGGCAATCAGTCCTATCAAGGTATAGAACCACTAATTCAGCCCGGTCAGAAAGAACATACAAGAAAGAAGTGTATATTTTAAACGAAACAGTTCCTTTGCATAGCTGTAACTTTATAACCAATATAATTTAGAAGTCAGTATGTTACATTGTAATATGTAAAATTCTAATAATTCTTATATTTCAGATATATAATAACAATAGCTTGATAATTCACAATTCTAGATAGGTGTAAAGTATAAATTTATTATATAATCCTCTGAGGGTAAAATGACAATATAGAATTAAGGATTTGGGAAGTATTATATACAAAATGGATTTCTTACTTTTAAGATTAGTTTTGTTTAAAGACCAAACAGCCTATTGTTTGTGCGCATTATCTAACACAACTTGATTATGACATAAAAACTCTATGACGTTGTTTCAAGCTCGGCAAAAGGTGGCAAATTAGAACGTCCCATTTCACGTATTTCACAGTTTCGAATACGAAGTACGCTTCAAAGTATACGTTTTATCAAGAAAACTGGGATTGAATGCCGCAAATAGCTAGTGCAAATTTATTTTTAAAACAAAAATGAACACAAAAGATACATGTACTACTCTACTGGTAACATTGACATTATGCGTGTACATGGGTAACTTTTATAATTGACTTATGCTTAGAACTTGAACTTTTGACAATTGAGCTTTTAAAAGTTTAAGCTGATAAAAAATGGTTCAAATAGTTTTGATCTATACTGACACCTTTTTTTATTTTTACTTATTCCCTGGATTGAGTAGTTTAACTGATTCTTGTAAAATATTATTGTGACGAAGGAGTAGATTGAAAAAAAGGGCTGGGGCAAACTTCTGAAAGAGAGGAACAATAAAAAAAAACCACCTAAATGTAATCTAATAAAGTCTAATAGTCTAGAAGTTAGTCGGTGTCATCTTTCATTTTTATTTTTTTTATTTTCAATAACTTTGTCAAGGAGTGGGCGAGGACAAAACCAAACTTTCCTTTTTAAAGTAAAGAAGGTGATTTCGAACAATTTTACATTTCAATGAACAGTGTTTCTGGAAGCTAATTTTGTACAGCAACAGAATGACAAACTGAAACATAAAGTTGATCTCTTGTATTACAGGATAATAAAGTCTTTATAAATTGTTGTTATTATTCAATTTTAATGTGGGTTTCAAACGTCCAATTTGTGATATTTGCGAAAATTGAGGTTAAACTTGTACATTGACATCCGATTCAGTGTTTTGAAGAAAGACAACTCTTTTCTTGAAAACAAACGAGAAAAATAACATGAAAATTGCTCATAACTTCTTTGAAAGGTTGGTGACATATAGTTTTCATGGCTTTATTTGAAAGAGTACACAAAGCACTTTCCTTCTTGAAATTTTCATGAAGAAATCATTAGTAGATATTTTCTAATACTGGAAATGTTTTTCATTCTTACACAATTATTTTTGACGTGAATGAAATAAATCATACTTTTTAAAATCAAAACATCAAGAATCTTAAACTCTAAGATGTTTAATTGATAGATACAAATCTACTGTTAAACATGAAAAAAAAGAATTATGGTTGTAAGCTTGTTCTAAAAAAAAACCCTACCTTATTAAAAAATATCTACTTTTTTAGAACAAGTCAGGATAAGGTATAGTTTTGACATGAAATGACTATCACTTTATTTGAACTTAAATAAGACAAAATAGCTATGAATGCTTGAAGTTGCAGAATTTAACATAGAAAGCAATGGGGCTATGAATTAGTAGTTTTATTCCTCAAGAGTCTACTAACAATTTCTGCAAAATTTAAGTTATTTATAATAATTTATAGATCTTGTCTTGCTGATAACTTTTGCTATTTAAAGTGTCAATCTTATCTTTTATAGTTTGCAAGATAATAGGCAAAAACACAAAACATTGGTAAAAATTGTCATTAGAAAGCAAGACCTCCAATAAGGAGTCGACTGACGATTTAAGCCATGTTGACTTATTTGTAGATCTTACCTTGTTGGCAATTTTTGCTCTCATAAGTCATGTATAAAATTGAGAATGGAAATGGGGAATGTGTCAAAGAGACAACAACCCGACCATAGAACAGACAACAGCAGAAGGTCACCAACAGGTCTTCAATGCAGCGAGAAATTCCCGCACCCGGAGGTGTCCTTCAGCTGGCCCCTAAACAAATATATATACTAGTTCAGTGATAATGAACGCCATACTAAACTCCAAATTGTACACAAGAAACTAAAATTAAAAATAATACAATACTAACAAAGGCTAGAGGCTCCTGACTTGGGACAGGCGCAAAAATGCGGCGGGGTTAAACATGTTTATGAGATCTCAACCCTCCCCCTATACCTCTAGCCAATGTAGAAAAGTAAACGCATAACAATACGCACATTAAAATTCAGTTCAAGAGAAGTCCGAGTCTGATGTCAGAAAATGTAACCAAAGAAAATAAACAAAATGACAATAATACATAAATAACAACAGACTACTAGCAGCTAACTGACATGCCAGCTCCAGACTTCAATTAAACTGATTGAAAGATTATGTCTTCATCATATGAATATCAGGCACAATCCTTCCCGTTAGGGGTTTAGTATCATACCATCATAACATATATGAGAAGAACATAACCCGTGTCATGTTTATTTATTTATCATTGTTTTCAAAATATAGGGTAAAACGCAACAAATGGGTAAAAATCATTTTTAAAGGGCAATAACTCCATTAAGGAGTTGACTGACGAGTTGGATGATTTGACTTATTAGTAGGTCTTGTCTTGCTGATCATTTTTGCTATTTAAAGTGTGTCTTTATCTGTTATAGTTTTGGAGATAATGGCAAAAACACTTAAAATGGGTAAACTAGAGCAATAACTCAAATAAGGGGTAAAGAAAAAAAATGACAGAATTTTCTCATACTCTG